GCTCCTTTTTCTCTTCCTCTTCCTGCTTCTTTTTCTCTTCCTCTTCCTCCTCCTGCTCCTTTTCCCCTTCTTCTTCCTCTTCCTCCTCCTCATCCACCTCTTCCTCCTCTTCCCTCTCCCTCTTCCCTTTCTTCCTCTTCTTCTTCCTCCTTCTCTTCCTCCTCCTCTTCTTCTTTTCTTCTTTTCCTCCCCCCCTTCTTCTTCCTCCTCCCCCCCTTCTTCCTCCTCCTCCTCCTCCCGTTGCTGTCCCCGTTCCTGTCCCAGACACTCCCGCAAGCGGTGGGAGCGGTTCGTGCACAGCGAGAACCAGCACCTGGTGAGCTCCGAGGCTCTGGATTTCCTGGACAAACTGCTGCGCTACGACCACCAGAGCCGGCTCACGGCCCGCGACGCCATGGACCACCCCTACTTCTGTACGGGGGGACCCCCGGGGGCCGACCCATGACCCTCCTGATCCTTCCGAACCCCCTCCTGCTCCTCCCGAACCCCCTTCCCGCACCTTCCCGGGTCCGACCCCCGACCCTCCTGATCCTCCCTCTCCCCCTCCTGGGGCCGCCCCCCGACCCTCCTGATCCTCCCTCTCCCCCTCCCGGGGCCGCCCCCCGACCCTCCTGATCCTTCCGAACCCCCTTCCTGCACCTTCCCGGGGGCACCCCCGCCCTCCTGCTCCTTCCTCACCCCCTCCTGCTCCTCCCTCACCCCCTCCTGGGGCCGCCCCTCGACCCTCCTGATCCTCCCTCACCCCCTCCCGGGGCCGCCTCCGCCCTCTTGCTCCTCCCTCACCCCCTTCCTGCTCCTTCCCGGGCCACCCCCCAACCCTCCTGCTCCTTCCTCACCCCCTCCTGATCCTCCCTCACCCCTCCCGCACCTTCCCGGGGCTCTGGGGGGTCTGAAGGGTGGGATTGCTGCCCCATCCCGGGGGTCTGGGGGGTGATGAGGTCCCCGTCACTCCCCTCGGGGCTGCTGCCCCATCCTGGGGGTACGAGGGGGGGGATTGGTGCCCCATCCTGGGGGTCTTGGGGGGTGATGAGGTCCCCATCACTCCCCTCGGGGCTGCTGCCCCTTCCTTGGGGTCTGAGGGGGGGGATTGCTGCCCCATCCCGGGGGTCTTGGAGGGGAGGGTGGGGGGGAATTGCTGCCCTATCCTGGGGGTCTGGGGGGTGACAAGGTCCCCATGAGTCCCCTCGGGGCTGCTGCCCCTTCCTGGGGGTCCGAGTGGGGGGATTGCTGCCCTATCCTGGGGGTCTGAGGGAGGGGAGGGTGGGGGGATTGCTGCCTCATCCCGGGGGTCTGGGGGGGGGATTGCTGCCCCATCCCGGGGGTCTTGGTAGGGAGGGTGGGGGGGAATTGCTGCCCTATCCTGGGGGTCTTGGGGGGGTGAATGAGGTCCCCATCAGTCCCCTCGGGGCTGCTGCCCCTTCCTTGGGTCTGAGGAGTCTGAGGGGGGGATTGCTGCCCCATCCTGGGGGTCTGAGGGGGGGATTGCTGCCCTATCCTGGGGATCTGAGGGGGGGATTGCTGCCCCATCCTGGGGGTCTGAGGGGGGGATTGCTGCCCTATCCTCGGGGTCTGAGGGGTTTGAGGGGTGGGATTGCTGCCCCATCCTGGGGGTCTTGGAGGGGAGGGTGGGTGGGATTGCTGCCCCATCCCGGGGCTCTGGGGGGGTCACTGTGCCCACCACCCCCCTGGGGGCTGCTGCCCCATGCCGGGGGTCCTGGATCCATCCCGGGAGGGTCTGAGAGGTGCCGAGGCACCGGGGGTGACCCCCTTCCCTCCCCCCTGTGCCCGCAGACCCCATTGCCAAGGACCCGGCGCGGATGGGAGCCCCGGGTGGGCTCTCGGCCAGCACCCCCCCCGTCAGCTCCTCCACTATGTTGGCAGGTGAGTCTGGGACCCCCGGGGACCCCCTGGGGACCCCCAGGAACAGCTCTGAGCCCCCCCTTTCCCGCAGGGATCAGCTCCATGCCCGCCCAGCCCCTCTCCGGCCTGGCTGCATCGCCCGTCCTGGCCTCGCCCAGCGCCCTGGGATCGCCCGTGCCCGCGGCTGCCAGCGTCCAGCCCTGAGCCGGGGAGAGGCTCCGGAGCCATGGGATCAGCTTCAGAGACACGGGATCCAGCCCTGAGCCAGGGAGATGCTCCGGAGCCACAGGATCCAGTTCTGAGCCCATGGAGAGGCTCCGGAGCCACGGGATCCAACCCTGAGCCAGGGATCCAGTTCTGAGCCCAGGGAGAGGCTCCAGAGCCTCGGGATCCAGCCCTGAGCCTGGGAGAGGCTCCAGAGCCATGGGAGCCAGTCCTGAGCCGGGGAGAGGCTCCGGAGCCACGGGATCCAGCCCTGATCCAGGGAGTGGCTCCGGAGCCATGGGATCCAGCCCTGAGCCATGGGATCCAGTTCTGAGCCACAGGATCCAGTCCTGAGCCAGGGAGAGGCTCCAGAGCCACGGGATCCAGTTCTGAGCCACAGGATCCAGGCCTGAGCCGTGGGAGTGGGTCTGGAGCCACGGGATCCATCCCTGAGCCAGGGAGAGGCTCCAGAGCCAAGGGATCCAGTTCTGAGCCGCGGGATCCAGCCCTGAGCCGGGGAGAGGCTCTGGAGCCCAGGGATCCAGCCCTGAGCCATGGGATCCAGTTCTGAGCCACAGGATCCAGTCCTGAACCAGGGAGAGGCTCCAGAGCCACGGGATCCAGTTCTGAGCCACAGGATCCAGGCCTGAGCCGTGGGAGTGGGTCTGGAGCCACGGGATCCATCCCTGAGCCAGGGAGAGGCTCCAGAGCCAAGGGATCCAGTTCTGAGCCGCGGGATCCAGCCCTGAGCCGGGGAGAGGCTCTGGAGCCCAGGGATCCAGCCCTGAGCCATGGGATCCAGTTCTGAGCCACGGGATCCAGTTCTGAACCAGGGAGAGGCTCCAGAGCCACAGGATCCAACCCTGAGCCACGGGATCCAGTTCTGAGCCTGGGAGAGGCTCCGGAGCCACAGGATCCAGCCCTGAGCCACGGGAGCGGCTCCGGAGCCACGGGATCCAGCCCTGAGCCACAGGATCCAGCCCTGAGCCAGGGAGAGGCTCCAGAGCCACGGGATCCAGTTCTGAGCCCAGGGAGAGGATCCAGAGCCCAGGGATCCAGCCCTGAGCCAGGGAGAGGCTCCGGAGCCATGGGATCCAGTTCTGAGCCCAGGGAGAGGCTCCAGAGCCAAGGGATCCAGTGGAATCTGATCCTGACCCGACTCCAGAGCTGGGATCCAG